ATATATATATATATATATATATATATATATATATATATATATATATATATTGCTGCTGCTGCTGCTGCTGTGTGTGTGTGTGTGTGTCTGTGTCTGCGTGTACAGCTGGAGAGTGTGTGGGGTGAGCTGCGGCCTTTTTTCTCCGCCCGCATGCATGCGTTTAGTGCAGTGGGTGTTGACTTTGAGAGAGCAGCAGCGAACATAGATTGCCGTATGGTGTATAACGAGCTGCTGCCGCTGCAGGAGCTGCTGTGTCAGCAGCTGCGGCCGTCAGGGGCCAATGCTGCTCTGCTGCTGCTGCTGCTTGCTGCTGCAGCACTCCTGCTGCTGCCCCCTTTCTGCTGCATCTGGCGTGCTGCTGTTCACAACAGCTGGACGATAAAAAAAAAAAACAAAAGACAACAAGCAGCAAACACAAACCCCCCCTCAGAAGCATCGCCTGCATGGAGTACAAACAACAACCCCACCATCGCTACTCCACCTAATGCTGCTGCTGCTGCTGCTGTTGCTGCTGCTGCTGCTGCTGCTGCTGCTGCAGCTAACGGCGTTCCGCAGCAGCAACACATGCAGCATAGATACTATCACACAGACAGACCTAGACGCGTTCGCAGTGAGGACTGGAGCTAAGCAAACACCTGCTCTGTTCCTCCTGCTGCTGCTGCTGCAGCTCTTGCTGCTGCTGCTGCTGTTCTTGCTTCTCTTCCTGCTCCTGCTGCTGCTGCTGCTGCTGCTGCTGCTGGTGGCAGGGTCAGCTGGCGCTCTGCGTCTGTGTGTAGTGCAGTTTTTTGTTTGTGTGTTGTTTTATTTGTTCTCTGTAGTATTAAATGAAGCATTTGTTTATATTTAGAGTTAATATATAATAAATATAATAAATAAATAAATAATAAATATAATAAATAAATAAATAAATAATAAATATAATAAATAAATAAATATAATATTATTTTGGGGCTGGAACTGTCCCCCCTTGTTGCATGCAATTTGTTATTTGGATTGATCAGCCGCCTCCGC